TCATTTCACAGGCTTCTATTTTTCTTTCATGGGTCTTGTTGATTGTCCATGTTTGGCACTGGTAGCAGAGTGTTGGAATGAAGATGGTGTTTATCAATTGTCTTTTGGTCTTCATGGTTATATCTGGATGTTTAAGCAGAGGTGATAGTTGGTATGTGACAGCATTTGCTTTCTGTATTCTTGTTTCTATCTCTCTGTCCATTCTTCCATCCTCTGTAAATATACTGCCCAAGTATTTGAACTCTTTGGTTTGCTTGATTTTGGCACTTCCAACATTTATATTCAGTGGCCTGTGTGTTCTGCTGATCTTCATAACTTCTGTTTTTTCTGTACTGATTCTCATATTATGTTGTAAACAGCTTTTGTTGAGAGTAGTCAGATGTTCCTGTAGATCATATTCATTTTGATACAGTATGCTTTGATCATCAGCAAAAAGTAATTTGTTTATAGCATACACATCTGGGTTTGCTTCTACAGTGATCTTATCCATGTATGTTATGAAAAGTAATGGTGACAGTACACATCCTTGTCTGACACCAGTTGTGACTGAACCATTCAGAAAGACCACTAGATATTCTTACTGCACTTTCACTTTTTTCATAGAGGGCTCTGATGTTGTCTAATAATTGACCCTGCACTCCCTAATCGTCAAGAATTCTCCACAGCACATCTCTGTCTACACGGTCGAATGCCTTCTCTTGATCTACAAAGACCACGTTCAGCTCTTTATCGTATTCGAGTGTCTTTTCACAGACTTGTCTTAGTGCAAATATGGCAACAGTGCAACCTCACCCTTTCCTGAAACCGAATTGTGCTTTACTCAGTAGAGGTTCAACCTTTGCTCTTATCCTACCTTCTAAGATCTTTGCATACATTTTCCCCACATGACTTAGTAAAGATATTCCTCTATAAGTTCCACATTCTCTCTTGTTTCCTTTTTTCTTCCAGATAGGTACTACAACTGATCTTTGCCAATCCACTGGTACCTTTCTCACTGCCCATGCTCTATTGAAAATTCTCTCCAGCCAGGTGATCATAGTGTCCCCTCCAGCCTGGATGACTTCTGTTGTTATTCCGTCAATACCAGCTGCTTTGTGTCTTTTACTTGTTTTGATAACTTTCTCTACTTCATCCCGCAGGATATGTGGTTCTAGATGATCTGGAGCCCTTGAATGGAATTCTGCTGTTTCATGTACTCCCGACGGGTTCAAAAGTTCTTTAAAATATTCCTCCCATCTTTTTTTAATTTCTTTTTGGCTGAATAATGGTTTTCCATTTTTATTGTTTATGACTGATGTTGGATTGAAGCTTTCTTCTCTTAATCGCATCGCTTTCACACTCTTATAAAAGTCTCTTGGTGATTCTGTACATAGCTGTGTTAGGTGTTCACCATACTTTTTCCATGATTCCTCTTTGGATTTCTTTATTGTTCTCTTGGTGTCTCTTCGAGTTAGTCTGTACCTAATGTAATCCTTTTCGTCTTTTGTTTTTAACCATATTTGAAACATCTTCTTTTTATTTGACACTGCTTCTTTGACTTCTTCATTCCACCAAGCGGTACCCTTTTTCTTGCCTTTGCCTGTCTTTCTAGTACCACACTTGTCTTTTAATATCTTCGTGATGGTTGATTTATAATAATCCCATTCTTCTTCAATTCTTACTGGTTCCTTGGCAATATCTGCAAAAGCCTTTGTTATTTCTAGTTCAAATTCATGTTTGATATTCTCTTCCTCTAATTTCTTAGTGTTGATGATTTCTTCACGTTTCTGTTTATGTAGACTGTTTCTACTTGAGTTGCATATGTTCATAACTACTGGGCGATGGTCTGAATCCAGTCCCGCATTTGGGACAGCTTTTGAGTCTCTTACCATCCTCTTCTGCCGTTGTCTGACTAGTATAAAATCAATTTGTGACGCTTGATCTAAGTTGTTCCACTTGTACCACGTTTTAACCTGACTTTGGCGATGTTGGTAGAATGTGTTGGTAATGTAGAGATCTTGTTCAGCACACAAGTTTAACAGGTGTTCTCCATTTCTATTGCAATCTGTGGTTGTGTCGCTGAATGGGCCAAGGTATCTCTCCCATGGTGATCTTCTTTTACCTACCCTACCATTAAAATCTCCCATTACTATGATATCCTCTTTCTCTTCAACATTATTGATGGTGTCCGTAAGTCTCTCGTAAAAGTCTTCTTTTTCTTCTTCAGAATAACTATCGTTGCAAGGTGCATATATCTGAATAATTGTTGTAGTTTTACTTCCTTCTGTCAACTTGATTAAAATAATTCTTTCTGATATAAATTCTGTTCCTGTTATTAATTTTGCTGTCTCGGGATGAAGTATAAATCCGACACCATCAGTCCTTATTAATTAATATTATTCTATTACTGGGGAATTTTTTCCTTCCAGAAAAGCAAAGCCCAATTTTATCACAATTGAAAACTTGATCTGGTCCGTAGCCCTCTGAAGCCACCAGTTTCTGAAATTCCATCATGAATTTTTCCAAGTGATTTTATTGGTTCGTTTTGTAGGATCAGTGCTAAAGCACATAGCACCTTCTTATTGTGAGTGTCTAACAACACACACACTGGTTCTATTCTTGATTTTCTTAAACCCTCCTTTAGAAAGTCTGCTAGCTTATTAAACTCTTCCCTGAACGTCTTTGCTAGGGATGGCAAGTTCTGTGATAGATCTGGAGAGTACACCAGTACCTACCTACCTATCTAGCCACATTGTATATGGGGTATGGGGCTTTGTTATCCTAGCAATTTTTTCTTACAGTACTCCACAAGGCAATGGTGGCTTGGCATTCAGTGCCTCCTTCACCTAGATGAATTACCTTCCCAGGTTTATAAGCTGAACCTATGCTTGGAAGCTGCAGTACTAGGCAGTAGTGAGTGGTTAGTTCTGACCTGCTGGCGCACATGTCTTGGGTTTGAATCTGCATCAAGTCAGTTTTAGTCAGGTTTTTTCAAAATTGGCTGCGACTCCCAGGTTGACCCAGCCTAGTATGGCTACCAGGTAATGTGTTGGGATTTCAATGCGGCTAGTATAACATTAACCTATCATCCTTTGAATGCCAGTTGGTCCAAAAATAGTAGAGCATCAAGAGCAATCTTAAATAAATCAAGACTAGCTTAAACAACATAGTAGAAAGAGCACACATGCACCTCAAAACCACTAACTGGAGAAAGATGGTAAGATGATTATAGACATAGGTGGGAGATTATAGTAGATATTAAATATATGGAACTTCTAAATAAGAGCACAACTGTTGTACCAAAGGTGTAGGGCAGTCCATTGCAACCAATCTCCTTTGTGAAGAGGGCACATGAATAGTTTAAGCATAAGTAAGAAATGACATGGTCAAAATACATTCAGCTACATACGCATATATTATCCTTCTAGCAACATGAGTTTAATAAAATGATGTAATTTAAGTTATGAGGAAACACATACACACACCCAGAGAGAAATTGCATGAGTAAGAAAGTGCACTAGAGAGAGGGAAAGTGCACTAGAAAGAGTGGGGAAAGAGAGAAAGTGCGCTAGAGAAAGAGAAAATGCATATAAATGAGTAGAATAAATCTGTGTGGGTTCCCAGTTATATGGAAAAAATAAAGGACCCACTGCCCCCAAACAAGCATGTCATAATAGTCAACTAATTAGGTATGTTTCCTTCAGAGTGCATCTGCCTGAAGGGTGTGGAACCAACAGTCTGCATACATATAAGCCAGATCTATAAAACGGATGTGTACACAAGATTCTGGTTGTGGAACAAGTGCAAAGTCTAAAAGTGGATAAACAACCAGAACTTTCAACTGGTGTTTACGGCCAGTGAATGCGAAAAAGAAGAGTTGGAAAAGGTGCATGAGAGAGAGATAGAGCAAGACAGTGTGCAAAAGACGGGGGGGGGGGGGGGGGGGCCTCTAGATAAAGACCAGTGCGTGTTGAAGCAAATCAATGAGAGGTATAATTTTAAATTAAGAATCAACTCAACAGCACTCAGATAAGCGCTCCATCCCCATCTTCAGCAGCAAGCAAAGAGTTCCATTTCCGATGGTACCCGTAACTGTCTGATTGTATATCCCTCTTGTCTTTTCCTTGAATTATGCGCATCACAGATCCCCTGGAAACTCTTCGCAGCGCCATTCTCCTCAGACCATAACGATCTGTTGGTGCCTCCTCACTGGTTACTCTCTCCCAGAGGACCCTGACTACATCTAGCTTGTCATACCAGTGCACCACCAAGTGGTGCAGAACTTTTTAGTCTGTCTGCCTGCTCGATTTCTGAAACATCTTAAGAAGGCAGTAACTGTGTTCTTTGGACAGATTTTTTAGTAAAAGTCAGACCTGATGAGCCTCAGCCAGGTCCTGGTAGATATGTAAGTTGTATCCCACCAGGACATCACACAAGCGATAAACACCCGGTGACACAAAGTGCCACCATGTGGATGAGGATCGCCTGTGGAGAGGTTCCAGAAACCCCGTTCAGCTATATTTAGCGCCCCCAGCAAAAGCCAGGGTGGGGCTTCAAAATTGCATCCCGTAAGGGGGCGACACTTAGTAATTTGGTCCTGGTAGTAAAAAAGAGACAGAAAAAAAAAAGATAGAGGAAAACCCACAAGAATTTAAGATTGCTGAAATTCTTTTGGAAGGGTACTCGTCTTCCAAACAGTAACATGTCCTCTTCCTCCCTTCTCAGGAAGGTAAAATAAAGTTAAATCATGTAATTGTTTTTATATCTATGTATTTTAGTATTAGGCAGTATATAAATAATTTTATACAACCCCATTAATAATATTATGTAATCTGCCTGTAACAGTAGGATTTTGTTCTTGGGAATTGATTAATCATTCTCCCACATCTTATAGGAAAATTAGTTTTATATACCTCCAAGGATTAGGAGTGGATTAAGTACATATAAAAAGGTACCACTGTATATCAAATTACTTTAAATGTAATTCAACTCCTTGTTTCTTCATTATGCAGAGATGTTAGATGCCAGGTAAACTTGCAGTTCAGCTTTTGAGGAAGAAGCTCAGGACGTACTGTACTATGGCAGAGGGCGGGGAAATGTCAGGTGCCGCAGCAAATGACGTTTTTCGAATGGAGGAGAGACCAGAACATGGGATGAAAGTGTTACAGGGCCTGAACAAACTCAGACAGGAGGGTGTTTTATGTGATGTCACACTTATTGCAGAAGGTGATTGGTTGATTCATTTAGTTGTGTCATTTCTTATTGTGGGTTTCAGGGCTCCGTTTGGAAAGGGGGTGGGGGGGGGGGGGTAGACCTACCACCCCCCCCCCCCCCAACAAACATATCGTAAAAGTTTACTAATTAAGCGACTTTTCTTCCAAGTCAAAGTGCGATTGTCTGAAAGGCAATGAACCAACAATATGCATACAAATAAGCCATGTTGGTAAAACGGAAATGCATGCAAACCTCAAGTACTGGCATAAGAAATGAATGAACACAGACATTTTTGTTGGAGTTTACAGCCGTTAAACATGGAGAAGAAGGAAGAAGAAGTTGTAGTTTTTCTTTATAATTTTGCTTGAATATAATAGAAGTTCTCATATTATTTTTCTTACTTTTATGACTTTATTGTTTCACAGTTGGCTGAGCAGTGAAGCATTGTTTGGGAATACATACAATGGTGGTCCCTATTGCCTTCTGCCAGTTCTTGTATAGTTTTGACAGCAGTAGTACCCCTTTTTTGGTCCTAGTTTAGCATTTTATGGGGGCAAATAATAGACCCACTGCCCTTTGACAAGTATGTAATAAAATGTGACTAGCTAAGTGTGTGCTGGTGAAGTTTCAGTTATATTTGTGATCTGTTTTATTTGCTTCTTTCTGGATTTGATTGCACACATGTCCTGCTTGAATATCATACTTCACCTCTGCCTGAATTTTTCGCCATCCATATCTGTTCAGGTTCTGAGTCTTGAGGTCTCTGTTGTCATCAGTCAGTGTTTGCTGCATAGTCGTGCAAAGGCACGTTTTGGATTGATTGTATGCCTGCCATCTGCTGTTTCTATCCCTGCCTTCCTCCAAAGCAGCAAAGGGGATAGCTGTATTTTGCCTATGTGATCATGAGGCATAATTTTGAAGTATTTTGATTATAGAGATCGCTGATCCACAAACTCGGTTGTATCAATGCCCACCTTCGGTATAGGTCTGTGGCTGTTTATTCGACATTTTCATGACTGCACTTAGTTGTATATTCTTTACAGACCGGTGCAGAACCAACTCCAGCATGTTTGGCTGCTGTTGTTTTTATAGGTAATAAGTAAAGAAAAGGACCCTTTTCCACGCCTTTAGGCGTATAGGGCTAGACTTATATTTGTATAGACCAATTGGCACAAGATGGGTGATGTGGTCAGCATTACGCTGGCCGCCTTTACTTCCTGGGACTGCACCTGGTAACCATTAAAGACTGGGTCTGTTATCTAGTGGTTTTTCAGACATTTCACTTATTTCTTTGATTTTTAATGTGCCCAATTTAATATTAATCAGTTCCATTAGGCATCTGTTTTAAGATACATTTAACATTGTTTCATGTCTTTAGTAGATTTGCTTTCGAATGCATTTAACTTTGTTTCATGTCTTTAGTGGATTTGCTTTCGAATGCATTTAACTTTGTTTCATGTCTTTAGTGGATTTGCTTTTGAATGCATTTAACTTTGTTTCATGTCTTTAGTGGATTTGCTTTTGAATGCATTTAACTTTGTTTCATGTCTTTAGTGGATTTGCTTTCGAATGCATTTAACTTTGTTTCATGTCTTTAGTGGATTTGCTTTTGAATGCATTTAACTTTGTTTCATGTCTTTAGTGGATTTGCTTTTGAATGCATTTAACTTTGTTTCATGTCTTTAGTGGATTTGCTTTTGAATGCATTTAACTTTGTTTCATGTCTTTAGTGGATTTGCTTTTGAATGCATTTAACTTTGTTTCATGTCTTTAGTGGATTTGCTTTCGAATGCATTTAACCTTGTTTCATATCTTTAGTGGATTTGCTTTTGAATGCATTTAACTTTGTTTCATGTCTTTAGTGGATTTGCTTTTGAATGCATTTAACTTTGTTTCATATCTTTAGTGGATTTGCTTTTGAATGCATTTAACCTTGTTTCATATCTTTAGTGGATTTGCTTTTGAATGCATTTAACTTTGTTTCATATCTTTAGTGGATTTGCTTTCGCATGCATTTAACATTGTTTCATGTCTTTAGTGGCTCTCAACTTTCACCAGCATATGTTAAAATTTAAATCATATCTTTGCTTTTCATTAAAAGTAAACCTTTAGAGAAATATTTTCTAGTACAAAATATTCTCTTTGCAGGTATGCAGTTTAACTGTCATCGTGCCATCCTTGTTTCCTGTTCAGACTACTTCCTGTCAATGTTCACAAGCGGCATGCGGGAATGCAACCAGAAAGAGATTGAATTAAAAGGCATCACTGCAAAGGGTTTAGAGAAGGTGATTGAGGTGGTCTACACATCAACCACCACTTTAGAAGGTGACGATATCTTCGATGTCATCGCAGCAGCCACACACCTGCAAGTGACACCTGTGATAGAGTTTTGTGAGCGGAATTTTCTCAGTGGAATGAACACCAGTAATTTCTATGACTTCATTAACACAGCAAAGCTGTATAGCATGCACAATGCTTTGAAACAGATTGATGTTTTCATTGCCAGAAACTTAATGCAGATAGCAAAGGAAAACACCCTTAACTTGCTGACCTATGAGCAAATGGTCAGCTGTTTAAGCAGTGACAAGCTGTGTTTTCGGGAAATGGACATCTTTCATATCACCTGGGAGTGGTTAAGAATGGATTCCCGGAGATTATGTCAAGCCCCATCCTTGATGAAGCTGATTCGTTTTCCTCTTATTAATCCAGCAGATTTAGTCCACCAGGTGCAGGCCGTAGAACTCATGATGTCCAATCCAGAGCTGCGTCAAATTGTGCTGACCGCATTGAACTATCATGTGGTGCCACATTCACAACCTTTACTTACAACACCCTCTACGAGATTACGTTCGTTTGTTGAGAGACTTGTCAGCGTAGGTGGCCGTGAGATACATCCTAATCCTTGTCTGCACGATGAGCTTTTGGTGTTTGATTCTAAAATAAACTCCAGCAGTTTGCTAAATCGTCAGGAGATAGCCACTTTGCCGAGCGCACTCAGCCATATGCAGGTGCTTGTGTTTAATAATTTTCTCTATGTTTTAGGGGGTTGCACAACTCAGTGTGCACACGGCGAATCCGCAGTCAACTCGGTTCTCAGATATGACCCTCGTTTTGACACTTGGTTCCAAGTATGCCCCATGCTGAACAAACGAGCATACTTCTTTGCAGGTGCGTTAAACAGTAAAATTTATTCAGTCGGTGGCAAATTCAAAGATGGAAGCTTAGCTACAGCTGAGTGCTACGATCCTGCCGAAAACACTTGGGAGCTTATAGCGTCGATGCCAATGTCATATCATGCACACGCTGGTGCCACTTATGGAAATCATATTTATATCTCGGGAGGTTACTCAGGCAATCATTTCACACCAGACATGCAAAGATACGATCCAAATACTAATGCTTGGGAAGACATGGCACCGATGCTGACACCTCGTGGCTGGCATGTTATGTGCGCTAGCCGTGACAAACTGTTTGTCTTTGGTGGTTGTAACCTGAATGTCAACCAGCAGGCCCAACCCGTCATGCAGTCGGAGTGTTATGACCCATCTATGGATCAGTGGACAATCGTGGCCCCACTGTCTATCTCTCACAAGGAAGCATCGTGTGTAGTGTACCGAGACAATATCTATGTCCTCGGGGGCTATAACGTACAGACCAAGACAGGACAGAAATTGGTGAGCAGATATGATGTGTTCGCTGGGATTTGGGAAACTGTGGGTGCTCTTCCACGTAGTCTGACCGGAGTAGGTTATTGTACAATCAAGCTGCCGTCATATGACCCTGAGGAACTGCAAGCTGAAGGGGATTAGTTTTATCCTTCTTGTATTCATTCTTTGCGTTGAAGTGTTATTTATTGTAGAATATAGTATATTTTAATGCCTGAATAAATAATATATGTATATATATATATATATTTATCTGTTCTTTGATTCAAATTGTTTATGTTGACCTGTAGATTATTTAAAAGTAATTTCCATTGCTTACACGTCACGAAGATGCAGATTATTTTTATACATGAAAAGATAGAAGATTGCAACTTGAAGTCTTTTTTTTTAAAATTAAACATATTGTAAAGTGAGTACAGTAAAGATCCATTGTCATGTTTTTAGGCACATCGGGAATATGGGAAGAGCACCCATATTTTTACAGACCAGTCGACACTAGGTGGGTAATGTGGTTAGCATTATTAACTCAGAGGTGTACCACACCGATAAGTCATCTGTGAAGAGAATGGGATAAATGTCTGGATATAACTTTTTAGTAGGTCATTGATGTAGATCAGTAACAGGACTGGAGACAGTTCACTTCCCTGTGGTACTCCTGCTCTCAACTTGAATCTGGGACTGCATTTCATCCAGTTTCGCAGATGCTCACCTTTGGGATAGGAAGTCTTGTATCCAGTAGTACATTGTGCCTCTTTTTCCACCGTGGAAAACACTCAGTCTTGTATTTTATATATGTTCAAGGCCCTTTGCCAAAGTATGGAATAATGGCTTGTTGCTAAAGCTAATTATTCTTTAGTATGTAGGTCTTCCTAGGTCTGATTTTAATGTATTATTGTTGTGCACAATCTAAGATAGCTCATATTACTACATTTTAGATTTGTTCACACTGTGAATAAGAGTTAAAATAACCAGGTCAGTTTTCTAGGCTCAAATGTATGTCAGATAATGACCTGTGGCTTAACAGCAAAGTCCTTACTTTTGTTTGGCAGAAACGTTTAAATGTCTGTTACCATTGGCCACATTCGTCAGAGCACTGGGACCAAACAGGGAGAGCCAAGCTTGGTGCATGCTTTTCCATACTATCATATTAAGTGTCCAGATGAAACAGTGATAAAGGTGCCTAAACTGCTGAAGAAAAATGTACCCATTTGTGTGGTCATCAAAGTCCCTGACCTGCAGGCTGCTCCCTGCTGATCTTTAGAGGATGCAGCCTGTAACAAGTTGGATGCTAAATACATGGATGTGAGATGAAGCAGTTAGAATGTGATGATTCCTTGAGTGAGCCCAGGATCAGAGCATTAGGTGTCAGCTCTGCATTTATGGAAGTCTCATTGAATGAAGGGTAATACCCATAATATGCCCCTGCCTTTCCTTGAGGGCTGACCAGTTCTTGCGAAATTGCCTTGGGTGGAATCTTCAGGGGAACAAATAAAACACCAAGCAAATGCAGCTGTGTCATGTCCCAATAAACCTATCCGGTCAGTAAACCTGGTCAACAAATACTAGATAAAGTCAGAAGTGTCGACCGAAAGGTGGAAATATTGAAGCATTTGTGTAAAGAGGCACAACGCAGCTACATCACCTAGATAAACAAAAAAAAGAAGAAGAATCAGTTACTGAAAGGACTCGTGACCATGTAGCAGGTTCTTTGCAGGGCGTCGCTCTTATCACGGTCTGCCTGAAAGAAACTTGGGTCTCTTGTACTTTCTTACTTGCCAGTTTTCCTTGATGTTTAGAACTTTTAAGATGTCAGTATTTCTCTTCTTCTTGGTTTGTGTTATTCTGAGAATCTTTCTAAAGCAGTTCATTTCAAAAGCCTCTGTTTTCTTTCTTAAGGACTGGAAGATTGTCCACAACTCACATCCATATGTTGCTACAGGAAAGATGAATGCCTTCAAAATGTTTTACCTTGGTTTCCTTGCTGGTACTTAACCATAGACTTTTAATGCCGAATAAACTGAAAGGACTAAATATTTAAATAATAAAAAAGAAACCTTATGTGAGTATCCACCATTCTTCGTGGCTGTTAGGCCACATTTGCATTTAATGATAGTCTGCTCTGTAGGATACATGTGTGACAGACTGTAATTAAATATCATCATCATGTGTCAGTTGTTTGCATGTGAAAAAGAAGTTAAAATACCCTTCATAAATTATGAGATTAAATGGTTTGATGAACAGGTAAGATGTCTTTATTTAATGTGAGTAACCATTACAGAATACCTTGGATGGCCTGAGTAACTAACAACGATTGCTTGAAAGTAGATCTCTATGTACAACAAAAAGAAAAAGACACACTGTTCTTTGGCCAATTAATGAAAAGAGAGACATTGGAGAACATCATGACAACAGGAAAGATCAGTGAAAAGAGGGGTAGAGGCAGACCAGGAGAGATGATGCTGGATGGGCTGAAATGATGGCATGGAGGGATATCATCAAGAGAGCTGTTCCAGGCAACCAGGGATCGTGATCTGTGGAGACATATGAGCGCCTACGCCAGTTGGCAGGGCAGATGATGATGATGAACCACTACATTCTTTAACGTTGTCAGGCCTTGTTTAATAATTTTTGGTATATGGGATTAATTCAACAAAAATGAAGAAAAAGGGAAATGTCTGGACAACCACTGGTATGATTGGTAAAATTACAAGGTTAAAAGACAAAGGAATTGGAATTTACCACATTTATGGCAGTATGGGGGGGGGGAGGGATGTTGTGCAGGTTAGGACTTTTGCATGTGCTCCTCTCAAAAACAATCTACATCCCTTTCTGAGAAGCAAACCCTGGTCTCCTTCATGAGAGCCCAGCACTTTAACCACTTAACTCTTGAGTCCCAGGGGATTAAGCATCACAGGCCCAAGGAGGGTTGAGAGAGGCGTAAAATCGGCGCATCATGCATTCATTGGGCCTCTAGGTAGGAATCTATGAACGTATGATGCGTTCCTTGGGACTCAAAGAGTTAACCACTGAGAAGATGGTGATATTTTGGGTACATCCTGAAGAGAGAATCTCCAAACAGGTACTACAAAAGGAGTGAATGGGAATGTGCAAACAGGCATGTCCAAGAGAAACCCTAAAATAAATGTTGTACGAAGGGAAGCTCCGACAGGCAGAGTGAAGCTCTTCTGATCCGACAGCTTCCAAAAGTTCTGGGCTAGATTTAATCCATGGTATTGAAAAAATTGCACACAATAAAAAGGTGTGGAAGAATAGACTGCAGGTCATATATGATTTATAAATGGCACAACAGGATGATGAAGATTATTTTTGTGTAATTATTTTATTGACTTGTGAATAGATACTGTCAAGCTGTTCAGATATTTTTCCTGACATAATTTTTTACAGTCTTCTTATGGCGGTTGGGTTGTGAGCCCTATTTAACAAGCCTAAATATTGTTTCATAATAGGAAAAAAAAAACATTTTGTTTGATTTTTTAAAATCCCATTGTGCATTATATTAGCTGTCTCATCAAAATATTTTTAATGGTCTGCTTGTGAATGGGTTGTCTTCATGATGTTTAGGCTTTGTGTGACGATTATTTAAGCATGTTTGTGATATTCTTGCTGACATAACTTGTAATCTCTCAAACATGGTGTGGTATGATTGCAGTTTACCGCTTTTGTCCACTCAGTCATACAAATTTTTGTTTAAAACAAATGTGAGAATATTTTTATTTCATAGTGTTTTATTCACATAGAATTGGTTTTTCATTCATTGCTGGATGTAAATTTGCTAGAAAAATCACACAACAGCCAGGGGCTGGTGGGGTTGGCTCTGCAACATCCTGTACAGGTTACGCAACTAACCTATTTATCATTGCAGCTCTCGTCTTATTGTTCACCAGCTGGAAAGCTATAGTAGTTCGTCCACTGCTGAACTTTGTTCTTGTTCCAGAACTTGAGTTGTATGTGCATATCGGTTTTCCAGTTCTGACTTCTTTGTATGCAAACTGTTGGTTCTTCACCTTTTAGGCAGATGCAGTCCAACTTTAAAGGAAGTATTATTTCAACAACTAAAAAATACAAATTAAGGTTATGACCACCCATGTTTGTCATTGAAGAAATTTGATAAATATAAAACTAAGGTAATAATTGCCCACATCGTCAGATATAGTTGATATTTTTTTATCCCAGTTACTTGATAAATTTAAAGTAAGGTTATAACTTTTTTGTTTTGTTTTACAATTTGAAGTGAAGGTAAAGAGAAGGACCCTTTTCCATGCCTTTCAGAATTATTGGGGATAAAAGGGCTAGGCCTGTCAGCACTTGGTGGGTGACGTGGTCAGCATTATGCTAACCACATTCCTTTACTTCCCAGGACTATACCTGGTACCCACTCAAGACTGGGAACCACGGTCATTTTTGACATGACCTTCTGATCAGCAGGTGACGTCTAGCTGCTACACCACGGTGGCTCCCTTTTAAAATGTTAGCAGACTCTTTTTACATGAGTGGCACATCAGGCATATGGTGCTAAACCGTGATGAGAGCAACGTTCTGCAAAGGACCTGCAACATGATGATGATGATCCTAAGAGTTGATGTTTCTTTGGCTTTCTTGGAGATTCATGTTGTTTCAAAGTCAAGACTAATGCTCAGTTGCTTAGAGATTAGTGAATGTGTTTAACAATTTCACAGTCCTCAATTACTAGGGTTCGGCTTCCACCGGGGACTGTTCATTATTATTATTTTTTTTTTATGTCTCTCATTGTTTTGGGACAAGAATAACACCATGGAATAGATTAGTGCCTGACCACAAAATATTAACAAAGGCAACAATGCATAGATTGTAACTAGCCATTATTGTGGAGATGGCACAGAATTTTAGTTTAATGATGAACATTTTCAGCTTTCTTGTTGTTCTTGTACCTTGAGAGTTTAAGATAAAGTTCAAACTGGGGGAAAGTATTCATGTAGATGCTTCATATGGGGGGAGGGGGGAGGGGAATCCTCTGTCCATAATTTGCATGGTTGGCCTCTCTTCCAATTCTCACTTGGTCTGTACATCATTGCCTTTTCTTCAATACTGTCTCTTGGCAGTTGTGTTGAATTGCCGAATCACTTTGCTTCTTGTTTCTAATGAAA